CTTTCGCCTCCTCGCCCCGGGCCACGCAACCGCGCGCTCGCTCGCTCGCTGTGCGTCCTCGCCGCCGAGCACGACCCCAGCCCACGGCTCTCGCGCAAGGGCAGCGCAGCAGCTGGCCCAGTGGCCCGTGCCCTCACCCGCCGCCCCACCCCGCTCGCCCGACCCTCCACAGCAGCATGCACAGTGTACTGCCACCTACGGGCCGCGACCGGCGTTGATGTATCCTGCCCGCCGCCGCGTGCTCCGCGCAGGTGCCGTCCGAGAAGATCCCGGTCATCGAAATGGACTCAAAGTGGGCCCACCCCGGACCGCGCATCCCCCTTCTCCTCTCCCAATCCGCCACTCTGCCGCCAGGTCGGCCATCGTCCACGTCCTCTGCGTCACCATTGCACTAATCGAGGTGGCGTTTTGCGTAGCCGCTCTGGCCGATGGCCGCTCTGTCATTGTGCTCAAGGACGAGCCACCAACGGTCGTCGACACTGCAGTCCTGCCCGATACTGCGGACTTCATCGTCGGGCCCGACGCGGACGGTAATACGGTGACTACGGGCACACGCGGGGAGGACTATCAGACGCTAGCGCAGCTCCTCGGGCCCCGCTACGGCATCGGACTGCTCAAGGACTCTTCGGGCCGGGCGTGGTGAGACGACAGAGCGGTCAACTCACCTGCACTCCACAGAGCAATACCCTGCACCTCAGCAGCCCTCCGCGCCCTCCCTCAGGTGGGAGACGGGCGACGTGCCTGGCCTGAGCGCCAGCATGACGCTCATGGACCTTATCAACGAGCTGGGAGTCGGGCCTGTGGCTGAGGCGCTGCCTCTCGTGGTGAAGGGCGACATCCTCAAGCACCCGATCCAGTTTCTGTCATGCACCGAGCTGCGCGACACGGGCATGGCCGCCATGTCACTCGGCATCATCGCCGTCATCGCCGCCGGGCTGATGGTCATCTTCCACGCCGCTGCCCTCTCCGGCCTCGTCAAGCCCAAGGTGGCAAAGGTGGTACCCCTGCTCGTGTAGGCGTTGCGCGCCGCAAGTAGCGCACTGGCCCTGGGAGAAGGCGATATGGCGTCGTGCGCGGCAAACGTTGGTCGGGACGCGTCCAGGTATTTTTCGGGTAAACCTGAAAGCTTTTCAGGTATACCCGGGTTTTACCCGGAGTTGGCCTTATGTCGTCTAAGTTCATGGCCCCCGACCATGAGGGTCTAAGTCTGAGCCCGGCTCCGTGCGGGGGCTAAGTTGAGCGCTCGCTCGCTGCACAGAGGCTAAGTGTAGAGCGACCCTCTAGCCCTACTACCCAACCATTGCAGGCGCCCGCCGGGACGGCGGCTCGCGAGTGAACAGGCGATATGCTGCGCACGACTGCACACCAGTGACCATCGATACCGGCGCAAGTAAGCGTAAACACGGTAAACGAACTGTACGCTAGCGTAGCAGCAGGCTCTCTGGGCGTATGCGTATGACACACTTTATGTGAGTCATTATCTATGTTGATTGGCCGGTCCTGTGGAGAAGGTCCTGTAGCATGCCGACGTTCCAAGGTTGGCACAAGGCAGCAAGGTCGTGCAGGGTGTTGGTGGGCTAGGGCGGTGGCGGCCGCCCTCAGCATATCAACACGCCTCGTCGCCGGGCCGCAGCCAGCACTCGACCGCGCGGATCACAGGCCGCGCCTTGACGAGCACTTCCTCCCACTCGTCCTCGGGGCTCGACTGCGTCACGATGGCGCCGCCCGCGCCGAGGCTGACGCCCTCCGCCGACACCACCGCTGTCCGGATGACGACGTTGAGGTCCGACGCCCCGTCGATGGAGAAGAAGCCGAGGGAGCCCGAG